TTTTTTTTTTTTTTTTTTTTTTTGTTAATTACAGCTCATTTTACGATATAAATTATAATCAAAAAATTTCTGCTGTTATTTCAACGAATCTTCTTCAAAAATTATTTTTTTACTTTGATCCGTGAGGATGTTTCAAATAATCTGTTGCAATTTGCATACGGTTAAAATGAATTGATGTAGGCCAGAAACAGGAACAATGTGTATTTTTCAAGATTATTAATGAACTAAACTCATGCCGTTCGACTTCAGTGTCATGACTGCAAGGAGGAGCATAAGCGTTTAACCGTACGTCTCATCAAAATTGTTGATTTTTAAAATGTAGATTTCTTTCTTCATGTAATTGTACAATAAATTTCCCTCTCCACTGTTTACATTGATCACTTTATCCCGCCAGTGAAGAAAATAAATAGTAATTTGAAGGCCTTTCAAAATACAACTTCTTTTGCTGCTATTGAATCCTAATCACGGTTCAGTACTGCACAGAAGCTTTTGTAAGTTGACTACTCAAAAGACGGGGGACCATATAAACGAATATAAATAATCAACATAAAAAACGTTTCTCATATTTGATTCTTACAACATTTTATTAAATATTTTAAGAAACCAAAAAAAAAAGCAGATAAAAAAGGTATTACAAAAGTGAGACATCAAACAGTAAAGTAAAATAGTATATAATATAACGGTCAAAGAAGCAAAACAACTATTACATTCCTACGGCTTATTCAATGCGCATAAAGGGATAACTGAACTGTTCCTGTTCCACTATTTTAGTGCAAACTCAAATGTTAAAGTCATCTTTGACTATAGCTTTTACACTAAACATATCTGGACAATTTTCAGCAATGAACGGCTTCCGCTAGACCAATGCAACTTTTCCATAAGTTGTCGTTCCCTTCTTAAGCAAAAACTAAAACTCTGCTTTCTTGTCAGATTTCTCTTTCAAATAAAGATACAAAACTTGAAAAAAAAAAACACAAGAGTTGCCAGGTATTACAAAACCGGTGACCACTCCCTCCACCGTCTTTCCTGCACATTGCTCGCTCGTTTTTGAACATACATTTACTTGAAGTTAGTTGTTTAAATCCATTTTCCTCGCATTTGTTTTTACAGTAGTAGCCGGAAAAGATTCCGACAAATATAGTACAGTAGTTCTAAAACGTGCAACTTGTGCCACTACTCTACAGCTGCTTTCGCCAAGTCAAGCACTCTGGCAAGTCACTACACCAAGAAATTACGGCAAGTGACAGCTCGGCACTCAGAAAAAGTACCGATCATTACGGTTAACACAAGTGTTGAAAGTTAATTCTCTGTTTTTATGAAGTTTACGCGAAGCGACTCTAAGAGGTTCAATAAATGACATTCTGAACTAAAGTGAGGTTTCTGTGACAACAATAAAATGTTTTTTTTTTAATTGTTGAATGAAAACAGCATTTTTTGCAGTTTCATAGCTAGACAGCAGTGTAACTATTCCAGTAGTTGTCCGTATGCTTATTGTTCTTCCCTAATAACAAATTGCAAATGAACAGTTTTACGATGAAAACACATATACTTCCAGAAGCCCTTTGTGTTAAAAATGTTCTCAAAATCTCTACCAATAACAACGAACGTAACACATTTAGGCATTTTTACATGAGCGGGCAGCTATGAAACGGGGAAAAACATCGCAAGAAGAAATTTAAGGAAATGACTTGTAGCGCAACAGATCATTTCTATTCTCCGCTGCTAAAATCAAATCTTAGAATACAAATTTTGCTTCCTCCTTGAGATATTGCCGACTCTCTGAAGCAAACGACGTGGTTTTTTTTGCCGTCTTCTTTCTGCTGCTATCAGCTGTACTGGTTTTTCGGTCCTCTGCCTCTCAGGAACATTGGTAAACAGCGCTTACCTAAAATAGTTCCAGATGCAAGATTAGGTATTTCGTCAAGGATCATTCATATAGCCGCTATACCTGTTTTTCGGAACTGACCTCGTCCACCAGAGAAAAAGTTAAAGGTTAGTAGACAGATAATTGAGTTCAAGTTTGCGATATTTCAACGGTTATTGTGACAGCGCAAAACTCTGTTAGTGATAGGTTGGGTTTTGAGTTTCTTCCATGGATTTCTAACAGTCTTGTACCGACTCAACGAGTATTTTTTTAAAAGCAATAGAAAAATATTTGTCGCTAAAATTTTAGTGAGGCTCTACTGCAGTTAAGCATGCCAATTTTACTTTTTTTAATTCTACTGAAGCTTATATTACAGAATCCAAACCCCTGTAAAATGATATATAGGCATGTTTCGCTTTATAGGTTAGTGATTTATAAGTCTTCGTCGATAGAAAACTACTGAGAAAAGGTGAAAGCACTTCACGTACCGCAAGAAGCAAACATCAGAGTTTTGGAACTTTTATAGTTAGCGAATTTATAGTTAGCGAACGCGTGATCTACAAAACTTCAAAAAACAAAGTTTTTTTATGTCATTTTATAAAAAATGCCCATCTCCTAAAGCATGAGCACTAAAAATTCCAAAAATAAATAAGAGTTAGCTACAGGTGTGAAGTAGTTTTTGATACGGTACCTGGTTGTAAGTTTCAGAGATTTAAAGACAGAGGAAATTTAAAACGATATATAGATTTACAAGAAGTTGCCACTTAAAAGATATAAAGGTGAAGTTTGTCACATTCTTAGCAAGTCTTTACTAGTCTTTTTTTCTGATAAAAGTTTTGTGCCATTGAGGCGCAACGCTTCAGATCTGAAGCTTCGAGCTTCTTCACCACAGAAAGATTGGCTGCAAGCGTAAGATCTAAAAATCTGCAGCACTGAATCGACAGGCTGTAAATCTGTGGACAGAGGCTTATTACCTGGGCCGCTACCTTTATTAGAGTGCTTATTTAGTTCACTTTGGTTCAGCATTGTTCTTTACTATATTTTGTCTTGACACTCGTTTGGTTTCCTGTCAGGAAGAAGGCATCAAAAATGGGTGTATTTGCCGAATCAAACATAAAGCACCATCTCCAGCAGTTTCACCTGGGAAAGCTTAAGAGGCAACTTAAACCAGAGCTAACAAAACTATAGTTTGGTTTGAAACTATAGCAGAAAAAAGAATAAACCTATGACCCATCCCCAAGAAGACACACCGTTAATGCACAGCACCTGAAGAACAATGGACTAGACTTGTTCTTTGCGCCTCAGAAAACTGTATGTAAGGAAAAGATATAAAACTGACTCTAAATTCGACGGGTAGCAATAAACGCTTTAGTGTTTTTGTCAGATTGCCAGGAGTCTGAACTTATTCCGAATCTACCAGTTTCGGCCTTGCAAAGCTGTTGGATTGGAGCCAAATCTCTTAATAGTTTTTGCGGACTTGACAGTTCACATGCGGTGATTGCTACTAAGCTCCTTCCTCTTTGTTCATTTTAAAACATTCTATGTTGATTTACTGTATTAAGATAAAGTTTCCTTGTCTTTTACTTCTTTAATAAATTTCTCAGATGAAATTATTATGTATAATATTTCCATATACACACGATTTTTTCCAGTAATGACAGCGTATTCATTCTGATTTTGTTTCATGCCATTTATTTGGTTCCAAATTTGTTTTAAAACAGGAATATATTGCAGAGAATAATGGGCCGCAGTCAAACTCCAAATGACAGTGGTAGAAGTCCAGACAGGGATAGGATAGCCCAAAATGCCCGAGAAGATGCCATTTGGGGAG